GTGGAGGATTGACTGTCAGCTTGCCCTGCTTCCACCTTTCCTCTCAGGATTACTATAAGAACCTGTCAAATAAACATGAAAAGCAAGAAAGGTCTGATAAGCTACCACTGCTACCAATTCTGTCTAAACCCTACACCCCGCATTTGAGCTACAGTGAAATCCTTAGCATTCTAACCCCTGCTTGTCTTGTTTCTGTCCAATGCGTCAACCCTAAACCCTAAACCCTAAACCCTAAACAAGATTAATCTTTTTCCATCTGTTCCCTGTGAAACATCAGATGCCGCCTGTAGCGCATGAATCTCGGATGCTCTTCTATGCCTGTTTTTGGGGAAACTTCCCATCCAGGTACAGCCTTAATGACTGGATGTTTTATTTGGGCTAAGACGGTAGCTATGTGAATCCGAACCTGTAAGTGTGTGGAATAGACGTGTTCCTTCCACAAGCCACACTGGAACCACTCATGTCCAGTTGCATGGCCTTATGCTATGATACTTGTGTGGCCTGCGCTGGAGCTTGCTGGATTTTCTGTCTTCTTTGGCCCACTTCTGAGTTGTGCCAGTCCTTCCAACTTATGCAAAAGTCCTCTATTTCTGCTACCTTGCCGCCTGCCAGCCAAATCTTTGTAAACTTCGTCACTGTTCTCTGCTGCTGGTCTGCCTCGTCCGTCATGAATTGTCTTGTCTTCTGCCACTTGCATAAGATCTCTGCCCGGATTAGTGTCCTCGTCTCCGCCCAAACTTTCTCCCTTGGTTTTGATAGCCCTTCGATGGTTCTGCTGCACCTTTCCTTCCATATAGACCATAGTGTTACTTTTCTGATCATCCCAAACCATATCTTTTCGGACTTGTAGTGTATCATGTCTTCAGGTTCATTTTCTGAGCATACTACACATAGGTCAGAGCTATTAGGGTCATTGTGTCTTCTTCTTGTATGCAGCCATTTGTTGACCGGTAATGCTACGTAAGAGATAAGCCATTGAAGGCTTCTAATTTTGACCGGTCGGATTGATTTGAATTTCTTCCAAGGTATCTGCGATATCTGGGTAGCTTCCGGACCAATCAACTTCGTCCATCTATTTTTGATTGTGGGATCCGGGTCCTTGGTGATTGTGGGATCCGGGTCCTTGGTTATATTTAGGAGATTGTAATCCAGTTTGACTGTGTAATCCTGGATGGTTGTATTGGTTCTTAGGTTTTTGCTTCTTCCTGGCGTCCAGGCCCATTCTCCTGGGTTGAATTCCAGGTCCTGAATTGCCGTATCCATTCTGAAGATCAATTTTGGTCATTGCCCCAATACTCTCACTTTCCTAAGCACAAAGTTGTTTAGAACTACTCTTTCTACCCCATCATTCAAGATAGATGAAAGTCCTTGAGTCAAATGAATGATTGGAAAAGAGGTGAATACCACCAGAGTGTCCGAACCCTGCTGTTTATGGGAGAATTGGTAGGCCCTTGAAGGAGATGCTTCCTGTACCACGACCCCCCATTCTCCTGGTTTCCATGTTGTGGTTGCGCTCAGTAGTTCTTTCCATCCATCTGGAATGCAGTGTATGACCATTTGCAGGTGCTCATCCCGTCGGTGACATCCTTTGAGCTGACAGGCGAGTTCCTGTTCTGTCACCCAGTCTTTTTTCTCCTCATCCCATATGTGGCAGACTTTGCAAACTCCATGCCTTATCCAAGATGGCCATCTCCTTCCTCTAGGTTTAAGGGTCAGAGGGTGGTCACTCGTGTCCTTCACCCAAGGATTACCGAACAGGGGTTGTCTCAACACATCTTCTTTTGGACTTGTGTCTGCCCACTTTTTCCGGCATGATTCCCACCATATCCGTAGCAGGGCGATCCAGTAGGGTGTGGGAGGTCTGTCTTCATTTACCCCACTCCCTTGTCGTCGATTCCTTCGGCCTGTATTTGGGCTCCATTCTTTGTTCATTATCCAGAAAAGACCTTTATGTTCGCTGGGGTGTCTACAGGAGCTAAATTCCTGATACTGTCCAAAGCCAGTTTGTTCCATGCTAGTCCAGGTCTGGTGAGGAGCTTAACAATCCATTTAACTGGTAGGGCCTTGGTTTCTTGTTTGGGGTCAATGATGCCTAGTCCTCCTTCGGCTGGTTTCCTCGTAATGTAGTGCCAGGCTATTTTCGGTATGCAGTTCTCTTTGTTTGGATCGCCGGTCCATAAGTATGCTCTGGCTTTGCGGTTGATAGCTTTGATTGTGTGATCCGGTACTGCCCCGATTGATGATGTGTACCACATCATTGAAAAGATCGATGTATTGATGGTCAGCGCACGGCCCAGCAGGGACATAGACGTATTTCCCCATCTACAAATCTATTTATATTATTTTATAATCGTTTCCTCCTCAGTGAAAAAGAGCTGCTTGGGCGGTTGGACATACAAATCTAGTTATTGTCACGGAGAACTGCCCAGAATCTATTTATAGTCACAGAGAATTGCCCAGTTGACCCCATCTTCCCCCGAACACAAGCACCCTCATCGTGACTGTATCAGTCCACAAAATGAACTTGTACACATTCATTGGTGTTCACGGGAAGACAGCAGGCAGAAAGGGAGAGGATGGGCAAGGAGGGGAGAGGAGGAAAAGGATAGGAAGCTGTGACAGACTGTTTTGTTGCAGTTTCGCAGATCCACTCTCATCAGTCAGGAGGAGGCTGAACCCTTGCTTACATTCGGGAGAGTCCCCTCCCTAACCCATAATAGATCCTGCTCCAAGATGCAGGTGGGGACCACCAACCACTGGCCCTCCAAGGTGAGGACCTCCAACCACTAACCCATGATAACCCACTCTAAACCCCCAGTACGTTTCCCAGCTACGGAAAAAAATATCCAGTTTGCATGCAGTCACAACTTTTGGGACTCGGCCGCCCGAGCAAAATGGCTAGCGGCACCAGCATAAAGGAGGCCCACGCCAATTCGTCCTTTTTGGCCTAGCGTTCCCAGCCTCCGAGAAAACTTCGTCGGAAGTACCGCTGATTTAACCCTGTCACAAGTGATGGGTTAAGAATTGGTCGTTTTCGGCCCCGGAGAAACCTGCCGGGTTAAGTATGGGTGGCTTAAGCCACTAGTACACGGCCCCAGCCTTGCAGTCGTCGCCATAAGAAAACGTGGTCGAAACATCAAACGCTGGGCCTGTCAGTGATAAATTGGATCGGCGGTAGCATTTTCGTTGCGGCCTTCCAGAATTCGAGGTGTCAGGCCCGCAGCCCAGGGGCCCATGTACTGGCAGTTTAACCCCATCAGTTTCAAGCACTGACCCGACACGACTGATACCCTTCCAAGGTGCAAGTGGGGACCACCAACCACTGGCCTCCAAGGTGGGGGTACCTGTGACGAAAATCAAAGCAGGCAATCACCCACCCACTCCAGTGTTATGAACATGATTGTCCGTTGAAATTTTGTCAACTCTCACTCACAGGAACTCCCGTACACGCCCATACATGCACAGAAGGAAGGGGAGAGGTAGTGGAGTGTCACACCGCCCAACAGAAAGAACGCAGCGGAAGACTCAGGGAAGCGAAGTGACAGAACACACGAAAACTGTGAATTCTCT